TTCACTGTCCCTCAGACCCGTTGGAGAGTCGGTCTATAGTTTAAAAAAAAAAACTATGAACAAATTCCTATGCACACTGCACATATCTTATTGTGAAGTAAAAAAACAAACGGGGCAAAAACACCCGGTGGGCCGGATAAATGTCCTCGGCGGGCCACATGTGGCCCGTGGGCCGCAGTTTGAGAATGCCTGCTTTATATGGTTTCCAACCCTGTAGATCTTTATAAGAGCAGATAGCTTCCTTTTTCTCCCAAAAAACATGTGGTGGATTTAAACCTGACATTGAAGTTAGCAGTCCAGTGCTTACCTGACAGCTCCACCAGAGTTCCTGACACTAAGATGCTTCCAAAAATTTGTAGAAAATCTGAGTGACATTCAGTGCTTAAAAACACCAACTATAGCCCTGATATACATCACTGTGTCCCAAAGTGGGTGATACCATCCCCTAGCCACTCTAACGATCTAGGGAGACTGTCAAAGCAGACACCTATATTTTATCCTGGATTATGGGCTGTAGTCCAAATATTTTTAATTGCCAACAGGACACAGCGACAGAAAGAGAGGGAGTACAATTTTTTTAAGTGGGTGCTAAGCCTATTAAGTTGGGGTGCCTTTGAGACACACATGATAGCCCCTAAACACAGAAGCCCACCCAGACCGCTGTCCTGTCTGCTGCTGGCCTGAGCGAGTTTGTTTTGCTCTTGGAGATTCTGAGCTTCTAGTTGTGACTTAATTAGCAACTCAAATATTTTTTCTCCTTTTCCAAGTCATTAAAGCTAAACCCACAAAGCGCTTATGTTTTTACCATTGCCTTCTAATAAGATCTTTATTCTGTGTACTGCAAATTATTGGTAACCTGACATTGGAATTACTCTAAACGTCCACTTAAAGATTCATTCATTTTTAAATTGTCCTGAGTGATTTTTACCTTTTTCGTCAAAGCCAATTTAAATGGATAAACATCTGCTTATGAGGTTGAAGATAAAAAAGGCCATTTTGGTTTTTTCCAATGGTTTATTGGTTTATGGTGATATTGTCTATTGGTTGAGTTGTGATGCTTTTTGTTTCCTTTACATTGAGTTGAAATCCATACTGAAGGTACGGTGTTTGAGCAGTAAGTGCTTGAAGTCATCTTTGTGTTCTGCATGCAAGGGCATGTTGTCTGTGTATATCACACATCGTTTATGAGCCCTGCTCCAACCCTGTTGCCACGTTTTCTTCTTCGTTTTTAAAGTGGGGGCTCTTACAGCTCTTATACCAATCCACACATCAGTTGTATCAAGAATATTCGTACATATGTTGCCATCATTATTTTCAATATATTTACTTTCTGTTTGAACCCTTGGTATCAGCTCCTCTTCCCCCCCACCCCACTTGTGATCCCTTGATAAATTATAAATTACTGTTTTCATATTTTACACCAACCATTGTCTCCCTTCCTCCATGTTTCTGTTATTTGCCCTCCTGGTGTTGGGCGGGGTGGGCATTACACGTGGACCATTGCACTCAGTTCCCCCTTCTTCACCTCCTCCCCCCACACTCCCCCTACCCTCCTGGTATTGCTACTCCCATTACTGTTCCTGAGGGGTTGATCTGACCTGGATTCCATGTGTCATGAGCTCTTAATCTGTACCACTGTATGAGCTTCAGTCTAGCCCAAATGCTCTGACCCCCCTCATTCTCAACAATATGGATTATTGTTTGTTTGTTTGGGGGTCAGGTAACTGGTGGCTGTTACCTGATCCTGTCAATATCTAATGATCACTCAGACTGGCGTGCTTCTTCCACGTGGGCTTGTTGCTTCTTTGATAAATGGCCGCTTGTTTATCTTCAAGCCTTTAAGACCCCAGACGCTATGTCTTTTGAAAGCCAGGCACCATCAGCTTTCTTCACCACATTTGCTTGTGTCTCCATTTTGTCTTCAGCAATCTTGCTGGGAGGGTGAGCATCACAGCATGCCAGGTTATTAGAACAAAGTGTTCTCGTGTTGAGGGAGGGATTGAGCAGAAGCCCAAAGTCCATGCACTACCTCAATGTATTGCTATATAAATATATGTACATAGGCCAGTACCTCTTTTTTATGAATTAATATATTTACATATGTACACATCTATGTTTATACCTCTATCCATAGTTTTGCTTCCTAGCTCTTTCCTCTGTTTCCTTTAACCTTCTCCTGTCCCACCATCATGCTCACCCTTCTCTGCCTCTTAGTAATTCATTCCTCTCAGTTAGATTACTGTTGTTCCAACACCTGTAGGATCTCTGTGTCCTCCTCCTTGTTGATTTTGATTTCCTAGTTGTTCCCTTGTCTATGGCATTGCTTGTTCACCATTCCTTCCCCCACGTCCTCCTCCCCCAAAGTCCCTGAAATACAGGCAGTGGGGCAGGGGACAGGCCAAACCCAAGAATGTATATGTCATTCCAACACAAAGAAGTGGAAAGGGAGTACAGGGGGAAAGGGAGGAGGAAAAAAGACCATTTTTAATACCATGACTTCTTTCATTTCCTTCCTGACATGGTGCATTCCTATTCCTGAGACATTCCTATTCCTGAAAGAGTGACTACACTTTATACTTTAGTTTGATTATGATAACAGAGCTTTTGTACATCTTGTTCTCCGTGGCAAGATTTAAAAAAAATAAAAATCCCTAAAAAGGACATTTTGATGGAAGTTGATTTAAAACTGAGAGTCCTCAGGAATGAGCAAATGAATAGGCAAAGTCAGGCACTGGACATTTAAGGGAATAAACAACTTACTTTGTGTAAAGCTGCTATAATTTCAGATTACCCTACAAACTTTCAGTCATTTGAGTTTGGGCCATTTACCAGTTCTATTTCCTCAACAAGCCAACAAGGGGCTATTTTCCATCACTTAGCTTCATAAACTTTTGGCCCTGTTCTGCTTTTCAACTTAGAATATTTTTCTATTAAATCTTTGGCTTTTTTATAACAGTGAGTTACATTCTTCATGCCAGTAGGAATTTGTTGGTAAAGAATTTCTTTAATTCTTTTTTTTAATGTAAATGATGGATTTCCTTTGTTACAGTTTTGTGTAGAAAAGATTTACAGAAATTTGTAGAAAAGATTTATAACTCTATTTTTAAAGAAGTAATCTGACTTTAAGATTTCATTTGGAGTGCTAAGCTTAATGTTATTCGGTTAATTTTTGTATTGGAAATCACCCCCATGAAAGTAAATCTATGCTTATGTACCCCCATTTGTTTGTTGGAACATCTCAATTGGTATTCCATAAGTTCCTAGAGCCTTATTATTGGCCAAATGCCTTCTCTACAGCTTGAGTTTCTTCCTTCAATACTTCGAGGACCCTACAATTTTGTATACATATTTGATATTTTGGTAAAAATTTTTACAGCAAGTTAGGGTCCCATTTGACATTTTCCACACAGATTGCCTGATGGCAGTTACCTTTATCACAGTGTCAGTTATTCTCTTTGTATTCAGTTTGTACCCTTTCCAGTACCCCAGTTTCCTTGCTTCCCCTCATCTTTTCACTTTTGCTTTGAGTAATTGTTGATCTTTTTTGGTCTTGTACTTACGGATATTTATGGTAGGGGGACTGATCTTTTGGGTTATATTTTATGTCACTCTGCTTTTCAACACAAGGTGGTATAGAAAGTGTCTCTGGGCGGTCGTCTGAGAGGATTATCTGTTCTGTTCTCTACTTTTCCAGTTTGATTAACTTTTGTTTGTTTGTTTGTTTGTTTGTTTAAGAATGTGGTATCACTTATTGTGACCTCGGTGACTGTAGTCAGTGGTGGCAGCTAGGTACCAATTCTTATGGCCTCAGGATAGATGAGGTTGTAATACCATTAGTTCTTGAATATATGCTACCTGCCGAAATGATTGAACATCTACCAATACTTTTGGTACAGTGACTTTGTATAATCCTTCCATTTTCTTTTGATACATCCTGCATCATTCAATATTTTACCCATAGAATCATTTCATATTACAACCCAAGACTTGAATTTTTTCTTTCACTCTTTCAGTTTGATAAATGCCGAGTGCGCTCTTCCCTTTTGGTTTTCTAACTTTGAGTCTTTGTGTATTTTATTGTACTGTATTGTAGAATAAGGAGATAATTTTGCATTTTAAAACAATTGAGCTGTTTCAACACACTAAGGTAATGCTAGAAGTCCTCACTTGTGTATGTATGCCAAGAAATTTGGAAGCCATCTATCTGGCTAGCTGGCTGGAATAGATCCATATTTGTACTCATTTCAAAGAAAAGTGACCCAACAGAAGATAGAAGTTGTTAAACAGTTGTGTAGCATTTTATAAAATGGTGTAGCAGTACATTGACAAGAACCTGCCAGAAATTCAAGCTAGATTCAAAAGAGGATGTCGAATAAGGCTATCATTGCTAATGTCAGATAGCTCTTGGCTGAATGCAGAGAATACCAAAAAAATATTTACCTGGCATTGAATTATTGGATCATAACAAATTGTGGGAAATATTCTAAAGAATAAGAATTTCAGAACACTTAATTGTGCTCATGGAAAACCTGTACATAGACCAAGAGATGGTTATTAGAACACAACAGGAAGTTACTGCATTGTTTAAAATCAAGAAAGGTGTGTACATATGTATCAGAGTTGTATTCATTCACTGGACTTATTCAGTTTGCTTGCTGAACAAACAGTCCAAGAAGCTTCACTATATAAAGCAGAATGTGACATCAGGATTGGAGGAAGATTCATGAACAACCTGTGATATACAGTTTTCACAACAAACAAGCCAAAAGGAACCAATCCAAATACTTAATGATGAAGACCCAAAACCATAGGCTTCTGTGTGGATTAAACCTCAACCTAAACAGAAATCCTCACAACTTGACCAGTAAGCAGCATCTTGATAAGTGGGGGGAAAGTTGAAGTTGAGCAATCAAGGAATCAAACAGCACATCGCATTGAAGTAAGTTCTTATTTAAATGAGATTCCATTTAAAGTTCTGTTGGTGGTGTTTTGTTTTCCAGATAATGGATTCATACCCGATTCACTTCTAGAAGATGTGATGAAAGCCTTGGACCTTGTTGCAGATCCTGAATAGTAAGCTCAATAGGAAGTGTTATTTGCCCAATTCAAACAGATGATGTTAAAACATTATATACATTCTTGCCTTGCTTTATCTATACCTGCATATAGAAAGCATTGCACTTCATAGAAAGCAAAAATTAGATGAAGTGAAATTAATCTAACATAGCAGAGGTTTAACATAATAAACTTTCTTGTGTATGCTATGCTAACTCTCTTTTTAAAGATGCCAATAATGTCTTTTCCTATAAATTTTATATATATTTTAACTAGTGTTTTCTGTTGTTCATTTCAAAGATTTTTTAAAGGTTTTGTGAAAGTAGTGACATTTCACTATAATGTACATATTGTTAGTGTTCTGCTATCTATCAGGCCTCTGATTTTCAATCTTAAATAAAAATGATTAATGACATTAAAAATTACCAAATAATTAAACTAACTGTTCTGAAACTGTTGTATACTATAGAATGTCATTTTTCTATAGTACCTAACATTACTAACTTGTCATTGTCATCATTCTCATTGTTATGTTTCATACAATGTTACATATATAACTTCCTCATACCTTTTGAATCTTTATTGTCTATGAGAAAATAGTTCTCATTCATAAAGAGGATACTTGTAACAATATAAAGGTTAGTTATGACAACCTTTTCCTGTATAGTTTTTTTTTCTGAAAAATTTTTAATCTGACAATGAACAACTTTTAGTATATAAAACATTTAACCAAAGGTTTCAGCAAAGATAACAAACTATGTTTGCATATACTGTGTTCAGAATTTGGTCCTGTTGGGTTTTGAATAAATTCAGATGTGCCTTCTTTGGAAATAGGGAGCTTCAAAAAGTTTGTGGAAAGTGGAATTAAAAGATAATGGAATTGTTCGATAATCTTTTTGAATCCCCCTCATATATAAACAATTGTAAACTAATATCTGGATAAATATTTAATTAACTAAGTCTGTAGTTATGTCCATATGCAATAGTTGGACTTACTTTTTATTTCCAAGAATAGAAACCCAGAGTTGATGTAGTCTAATAAGTGGTGTAATGGTACTTACTGTATATCTTTTAAACCAATTCCCAAGTGAGACCCTCTTGTGTACTCTGCTCCAGTTTCCATCGAGATTTGAACTCTTGAGTAATACTGGCTTACTGATAATTCTACTGTTTTCGTTTTGTAAATAGAAAAGAAGAATGAAGCATTCTTTTTTTTTTCTTTTTCAAATTCTTCAATACATAGTTTTATAATATCTACCTAGTTTTCCTTGTTTCACTGGACCATATCTTGAATTAAAAGGTTAGTGTAATTAAATTAGATTGGTTATCTACAAGTAGCTAAAAGATTGAATTGATGTATTCTCTCTGTTCTCTGGCATTGTATGTTTCTAAAATGTATGATAGCCCGTGAACCAGCAGAGTTATGTTCATGATTAAACAATGGACTTCAAAAAGTTCACAGCTACCTTCATTGGCTTTTAATTCCATTTTCCCTTTAACATTTTGAAACTCCCTCACTAGATCATAATAATATGATCTAGGCCTAACTCAGGTCTGGTCGAATGTCATATCTTTTGCAACTTATAAAATTGGGACATTTAACTTGGCATTTGACAATTTGGGAAACGCAGAGAATAAAATATTTCTTAAAGGATCATTTTTAATTTTTAAAAACTCTTCACACGTAGATCATTTTTCTAGGCCTTTATATTCACACATAACAATTAACACCTTTCACCAATCTAGATTACACTGCAATGCATGGTAAGGGCCTATGCAAAGCACTGTGGCTCTAAGCTGCAACGGGATGAATATACCACTTGCTGCGGTTCACTATACTTTTGCTCTTAGAGAATATTTCCACTTCTTTAAACGTTAAGTTACATTGACAATTTTATGCCACCATCTCATTTGACTCTTTCTTAAAAGTAAACTTTTTAAGAGTTTCTTTTGATTATCTGGTGTACCACTGCCTTTCAATGCTGAAATAAATGCATATTTTTAAAGTATTAATTACTTCACTTGATAAAAAATTCAGGCATACTTATGAAGCAGAGTATTTGACTCTAGGAGGTTAGGAGCCTGGGTCTGTGAGCCTAGGTTTTATAATTACTTTACCTAATAAGGAACAGTATTCCAAATTCATCACCACATTTAAGTTTTAAATAGTAACAGATTACTGCGGTTTAAAAATAACCAAGTTTTGGCAAATTAGACATCATTCCTATGTATTTGTCATTAAGGTTCTAAAAAGAACAGCTCTTAGAACTTTTGGCAGGCAAATGTGTTATAGTACAAGTAATTTAATCATGAAGGAAGAAAAATAAGCTTTTTTTTCCTTTGGTATCCACTGTTTTTCTTTTCTTTCCTTTTTTTTTTTTTCTCCCCATAGTATAAACCTCATGAAGAATAAATTAGATCCAGAAGGATTAGGAATCATATTATTGGGTCCATTTCTTCAAGAGTTTTTTCCTGATCAGGTAACATAGTTGAGGAACTATATTCATTATTTTGTTCTATGGGATGATCAACTGCGATTGTTTCAGCATTTTTTCAACTTCTTTCAATTGTCCTACTGCACTGATATGAAACTGGGAAAGCGCAATTATTATGTAAAGGGATTCCAAGACAGAGGTGATAGAAAGCTGTGTGTATTCCAATACAGCAATTCACATCCTCCAGGAAAGTGGGGCCACTAGAAATTGGTGTCCACACCAATGCATGCAATAAAGTGATACTGGTTATCTACAAAGGCAAAATCCAGAAGTGTGTTGACCAAGAAGAAAATGGTTCTCTTTTCCACTCTTACTCCCATTTTCTCTTGTCAGATAACTGTTGTTAATAAATTGATATGTAGCTCTTCAGAACTCTCTACATACTAGAAAGGAAGGTAAAAGCCTGCAAGTAGGAGGAGCTTCTCCTACTGAACTTAAATTCCAAGAGCAATTCACACAACTGGAAGAAAATCTTGACTGGAGCTATGTTGTTTCATATTGGAATATTTCTTCCGCTAGGCTCTGGTTAATAGGCAATTTTGCTAACCTCAATGTCCATCAGGTATGTCTGAGTCATTGGCAAGCCAATTCTATGTGTAGGCATCTGTCTTCTGTCCTTATTGAACTGAATTGCAGCACTAAGCCAAATTGTTTAGTTAGGTCTACTGTGGTTATTTCATCAGCATGGTTTAAATCTGTTGTTTCAATAGAAATTCAAGTTTCTAGTCTACCTTTATTGTAAAAGAGATTGATTGCCATGTAGAAAAGGCTTACCAAGTAATAGGACAATTGCAAGATAATAATCATCAATTTCTCCATTTTGAATTACCTTTAACAATCTAGTAAGTAGAAAAGCAAAAGAAACCTACATTTTCTAAGCTTTCATGTATCTGCTGTGGTTGTTGTAAGAAAAAAATGGATTATATAAAAATTTTAACAAAACTGAGGATATCACAATATAGGCTATTAGGTTTTTAAATTTTTGATAAATGCTTCCAGAAAAGATAGATTTGTTTTATTTTCTGACATTCTGAATACTTTATCAGGTTGCAGTGTCCAATATGTTCTTACTCTAAGTACTAAGTTTAATTAGTTGAGATTTCTAAAGTTAGTGTCTGGAATCTCATCATGAGTTTTACATATCTTAATAAATTACAGCTTTCAAAAACTTTACTTGAGGCATTTAAATCCATTTTCTTTTTTCATTGCTGTATAGCTAAGGCTTGCTATCCAAATATTTAATGCTAATTTCTTTTTACTGTAATGAAATGAGGCCTTGGATGGTACAAATAAAATGGTCAAACACTCGACAGCTTGATCAGAAAGGTTGACAGTTGACATTCATCCAAGATAGCATTCCTGTTCATTCTTAACTTACTTTTGGAAGGAGTTTGAAAAGTACTTGGGAAATAAAACCAAACAGCTACATCCAACTCTTTTAGAAATACACTGCCTTCTTTATTTACTTACATGAGCCTGCTTGTCATTATTGTAATAACTCATTTGTTCAAAGAATTAATTGTGGCAAGTAATTTAAGAGTCATAGGCCCCTTCCCTTTTACATGGAGCAAACTTCTCCCTTCGGTGGTTCGATTTGCTCCCTGTGTAGCCCGGGCAGTGTGTTAGTGGGTCATGAGTTGGTCAGCCGTTGGAAACCACCATGGGAGAAAGAAGCAGCCTTTTGCTCCTGTAAAGATCTAGAGCCTTGGAAACCCACGGGAGCAGTTCTGCTGTGCCCTGTAGAGCTGATCCGTTGGAGTTGACGTGGTGGCAGTGAGTCTGATTTGGTTTGGGGTTGTTACCTATAGTCATCTCGTAGCTTTTGCCTCTTTCCGGCTATACTTATACAAACTCTCCATCCCAGCTTGGTTGGTCTCCTTGCTCCTCCTCTATGAGAGGTGTTCAAAAAGTTTGGAAAAATGGAATTTTAAATAATGCAATTTCCCCACAAACGTTTTGAGGCCCACTCTATAGTTCATGTTCTGTCTTAAACCAAAGCTTGTTATCCTGCTATTGGTTCCCTCAGAACAGTGGTTTACAAAAACTTGAAATGCAAATTCTTAGATCTTTTTCCAGACTTAGTGAATCAGAAACTTTGGGACTGGGGCGCAGCAATCTGTTTTAACAAGCCCTTTGGGTGATCTGATGGCTTACCACCATCTGAGAACCACAGCTTTAGTGGAAGACCCATCACAGCCCCACTGGTTCACATCCAGCCAGGGCTCAGATGATCTGTATCACAGATCTTCCCTCAGCATAGCCTGTACCACCCTATGCCCTCTTGCTCTGTGGCTATCACTCATTGTGCCCATTATTCAAATTCTAACTGGTTCTTACAAACCAACGTAGTAGATACTCAGTAAGCATTGCTTATTGGATCAAACTAGGAATAGAGTTACAAAACTTGGACCAAAAAGATGACCAGGAAAATAGGTTCCTATCTATAGAAATTGTTGCAAATGTGTGAAGTGGAGGATGGCTATGGAAGAGCATTCCTTTGCCATTAAGTAGAAGCTGCTTGGAGACTAGTGGGTAGGAACTGTAGGAATATTCATAAGCATTTCAAGGTAATTTGTTTATAATAAAAATTGGGGAAATAGCTACTATTTGTTAAGGAGTCAATTGTGGCGCACCAGGTACTGTTTCTCTTCCAAAAAAATTAAAGTGTTACTATTATTTCCCCCATTCTTACAGTGAAGAAACTGAGAATTTAAGAAAATTGTTTAATGTCACACACTTGCAGGTGTGTTCCAGAGTAGATCTGCCTAACCCAGAGTCCAAGCACTTACCACTGTGTTAACACTGCCTTTTCTCGATGGTTCATTATTTTTTATATACCAATTGTTACTGCCGGGGACTAGAGACTATAAATTGTATTAAGTTACAATGAAATATTTATCTTTTAAGTTAAGATAAATTCACATTGAAAACCAAGAGCTAAATTACTTTATCTTAGCATCTGATTTTGTTGGCTTATGTATATAATTAAGGAAATGATATAATTTATTGATTTTTTTCCCTAACCTGTGCAAAGCAATCTGAGTATGGCTCAAAAATAAATTAGAGCATAAATTTTAGTTGGGACTGCAAGACGTGAAAAGCTAAAAAATAGTTAAACAGTTAAGCAGTCTTCAAAAATAATATGACTATAAAAGTAGCATGGCTCTTTCCTAGTAGTATGGCCGATAATTTTTACTATAAGAAGCTCAAAATAATGAAGAACCAAGTACTATGATTAGGAAAAACATTATAGGAAAGGTGAATTTTGAATCTCTTTTAAAAATGAGGGGGGGAAAGTTAAATATGTGAAGAAAGGAACAGAAAAGTTTATGAGTGTACAAAGGATTAAAAATGAAAGGTCTTTTTATGGCAAAATTAGGCTTGTCAAAAAGAGAACTGCAGTGCGTCTGGAGATACTTTGGAGAGCAAGTTGGGTTCTACAGAAGCCCAGCCTGAACTGGCTCAAAGGAGGGCTGGGTCATGGGCAGAGTCACTCGCGGGAATTAAATTTCAGAACGTCCATGCACAGGAAGGACCTCCTCAGAGACTAGAGCAGTCTCTCGATCCCCCAGCCTTTCTCTCTAAGGGAGCTTCATTCGCTCATCCCATTTTTCTCTAGCAAGTGTAAGCCCCAGCTTACACTCTAGTAGTATGGCCGATAATTTTTACAGTCCTCTCTTCCCTTAGTTCTACCAGGGAAAAAGATCTCCAAAACCCTCTGGCCCAGCTTATGTCGCAAACTCATCCTTAAATCAATCAGTTATGGTGAAGAGACAAGAGGGCTAGAAGCAGCGAGAGATCGCTATGTTAGTCCCCAAAGGAAACCATTGGGACCAGACGGGTAAACCAGCGGGATCCACTGTGACTTTGTGTGCTAGGTTGAGGGAGCTGAACTTGACCTTTCGCCAATTGAGGACCAAAGTAAACCAGAGTAACATTATCAAGGTGTTTCTGAAAATCTAGTCTGATCATTATCATTATTTATTGAATGTTCTTAAAGTCTCTGTAAGCACTACTATTATTTTCATTTCTAACAATGTTTTTTTTTTTACTAATTAGAATTTGGCAATATTCAAATGACATTTTTGGAATGGAAACCCCTGATATTGTGAACCAAATAGGAACTATTAGTGCGTATGTTTGTGGTCTGAATAGAATTAGTATTACCACTCTTCCATGTGTATTAGAAGGAGAAAATTATTCACAACCAGAAAAATGACAGAGAAATATTTTAGGGAAGTGGGTTTGTGTTTTAGAAATATATTCTTTTAAAAACTCACAGTAATCCATGCCTATGGGAAAAACCGTAAACTACCACTGAAGACTATACTGTGAAGATCAACACTTCTGGTTTTTCCAATCTCTCCAGAGATAAACTCTCATAGTACGTCAGCTTTAGCTTTTTGGTCTTTACCTCCATAAATCTAAGTTTCTTACTTTTTAAAAGATAACTCCCTCATCAATGGATAAGGATTTAGAAAACTTGCATTTTATTTCCAACTATTAATCAGCACTTACTAATTAGCAGTTAGACAAAAAGCCATGATGTAAAGTTTTAATAGTTCTCTCTTCATACTAGGGTTCCAGTGGTCCAGAATCTTTTACTGTCTACCACTACAATGGATTGAAACAGTCAAATTATAATGAAAAGGTATGATAATTCAAAAGTAACTTCTGGTTTAATGGATAAATGCATGAATACATAACAATGTTTCCTGCCCATAAAATCACTCCCCAAGGATATCAATCGCTTTCCATTTTTTAGACCTATGCTGTTCACTTTGACCAGTCCATGATACACAGTGAGGTCTACATTGAACTTTAAGCAATGGGTACACTATGACAGTATAACTACCTCTGCATGCATGTTGATAACATCGATTAGGAAGCTCTTATTAAATTGGCTTTCGTGGTTTTTTTCTTTTCTGTGAAATTTGGTACAGAAAGGGATAACAGATTTTTGAGAAAACTCTTTTTAAAGAATTTAAATGCGTAGCCATAATAGCTGGCATTTATCTAGAATGTTACTAAGCACTATTTTTCAGCATACACATTTCACATCCACCCTAGGAGTAGGTATTGTCTGTATTTTACATTTTACAGAGGGGCCACTAAAGCTCAAGGCAGTGAGAAATGTGACCCAGGTCAAACAGCTCAGCTGGAGTTGAAACTGCCAATATGATCTGACTGCCCGGTCTGGCCTTCTCATGCCCACTAGGTTTTCCTGCACATGGAAGTTTGAGCTCACTCATTAACTCTTTTTTTTTCTAATTAAATATGAGCTTTGACTACACATGCAGTGCATTTATATTTATATGTACTAAAATAATAATCATAGCAGATGCAGTTAACATTAAGTAGATAGGGATTTTACACTTTTAACCAACTTCTAGAGCATCTTTAAAGGGAGCTCTTGTGACACAGAGGTTGTGTACTCAGATGCTAACCCAAAGGCCTGAGGGAGAAAGATGCAGCAGATTGCTTGCATAAAGAAACCCTATGCGACAGTTCTACTTTGTCCTGTAGAGTCACTATGACTAGAATGGGTATGGTAGCAATGGGGATTAGATTCACCAATTCTAGTTTATATTGTGGTCATTATGTTAGTACATAAATTCCCTGATTGATCCATCAACCTTTTTTTTTTTTTTTGATCCATCAACTTTTGCTGGTAATTTCTATTTTTTTTTGTCCTTTAAATTTTTCTCTCAGCTTTTTCCTATAGTACAAAGTACACTTATGAACCACATTTGAAATTTAGTGCAGTATTGCAAATTTCATTGACAAACATCTAAACTGCTTTCAGCTCTGAAAATTTAACACTGAACTTGAGAAAATAAAGCCCTCCACAGAGTATATAGCTGTGTTTTTGCCACAACTTTCTGTTTCATGAGATGTCATGAGCACCCTAGGGCATCAATCTTAAGCATAAGGAGCAATATCAGTGTGATAACTACATATATTCAACTCAGATTTCTTCCAACTGCTATGGTCCTCTGACGAGTTATTTCATTTGATCAGAAATTGCTTACATGTGTCTTTGTGATTTATCTAAGCTTTTTAAAGTATGACATTAAATTCAAAAAAGGAACGAGTTAGTCAGCAATTAAAATTTATATCACCATTCTATCACATTCGTCAGTGAGCAGATATTCTTGATAATTTCTACCAAATAAAATTAGATGTAAAAGTCTCAATGAGACAGTATTTAATACCTTATTTACTAGACTATAACAACTGTTTGTATTCCTTTTAAGAATTTGCTAGAAATACTGATTGCCCTTGGTGACCTTGTTTTGACCCACAGGTAATGTACGTAGAAGGCACTGCAGTTGTCATGGGTTTTGAAGATCCCATGCTGCAGACCGATGACACTCCTATTAAACGCTGCCTCCAAACCAAATGGCCATACATTGAATTACTCTGGACCACAGATCGCTCTCCTTCGTTAAACTGATTTGCCCACATGTTTTCATTATAGCAGATGTTGAAAGAGGGACTGAAGACTGGCAAGTGGCTAAATTAAGCTGAACACTGGTTTCATTGATTTCTCTGTAAATAACAAACACTTTTTCAGTATTTAAAATATGTTTAAATTGTTTGTTTTAAAGCTGTATGTTAAAGGTTATCCTACCTTGACCTTTTATGTGAAATGGACTAACAAAATTTTTCTTAATCAAAGTTCATTTCTTTTGCAGTCAGATAAATTTTCATTTATTTAACAAATCACAAGCAACATTATGCTACAGCATTTGTATCTTACAGATTACTATTTATAAATTTCTACTTTTAGTTTTTATTTTATTCAGGCACATTCTATTGTTTAAATGACTGACTTAAAATGTATCAAACTCAACATTGAAATGCACAAGAGTTCAGTTTTGCTATCTTCTAGAGTCTGTTTTCCATTAGAAATACTAATAAATAGCAAATTATCAGCTCATATCCATTGGCAATTGACTTAGCTTTGGCATGTTTTAGAAAAAGAAGAGACTAAAGTGGAATGTAACATTTATTTACAATATGTAAGGGGATATCTTTTTAAATTTAACAGGAAAGAGTCTTAACACTGTTACATTTCACTGTATTGCCAAATACATTTTTCCAAATTCCTCCCAACAGCCCTGTAAGCCAGCTTCCTTGCATATTTATAAATGTGATAAATGCATGAGAACATCTGTTATTACATTAGTATATTGCATTATTTATTATGATCCTAACTGATGGCCTAAATAAACCTTTTTTTTTCTTTAACTGTGCCCTAGCATTTTATACTAGTAGTCAAATCGTCAAAATAGGAAAATCACTTTAAATGTTTCTCCCCAGCATCGCAGCGAGCACGACATAAAGTCTCAGGAGCTCATACAAGACCTCAGAATAGGAGATTGAACCTTACCCTTTCCCAAGAGCTGTGCCTGAGATAGCCAGAAGTACTGGGCCCTGCATAGCAGCTTTCTAGATCAGGGGACCCAGATAAACCACATCGTGTTTCTGGATACCTCTTTGAAAAAAGCCCTAATCCATACATGTATTCATTAAAACAGCAACCCTCCTTTTCCCTTTTCTGCTTAAAGGGCAAGGATTTTGCTCTGCGCCAAGTAGCAGTAGCAGTGACCTTTGTGAAAGCACTCTCCTAAACCTTGATGTCATGGGTTGTGTTGTGTGCCCCAAAATACGTGTGTCAACTTAGCTAGGTCAGGAGGCCCTCTGTTATGTGGTGGTTCCACATTTTTTGATCTGATATAATTATTTTCTATTTTATGCTATGGATGGTGGAATCCATGAACCCTGGTATTGTAATGGGTTACATGTTGGGCCACTAACCACAAAGTCAGCAGTTAAAAGTCACTAGCGGCTCTAAGAGGAAAAGGTGAGGCTTCTACTCCCATAAAGATTTACAGTCTTGAAAACCCATGGGGACAGTTTTACTCTGTCCTGTGGGGTTGCTATGAGTCAGAATTTCCTCAATGGCATTGAGTTTAGAGGGTTGTTCGTTGTTTGTTTGTTTGTTTGTTTTAAATCTTGAAGCACCACCCATCTCAAATCATTGCCTTTATTCAAATTACCACCCTTGCCTGAGTCATACCTTTTATCTATAAAGGGATCAAAGAGAGATGGCAGTTGGGTGAGAAGGATCTCCCTACTACCAAGAAAGATGGCCTGGAAATGGAGCATGTCCTTTGGCTTCAAGGGTCCTGCACTGAAAACCACCTATGCCTAAGGAAGATTGGTGCTAGGACACATGGGGAGTTCCAAGAAACCAGGAAATGGATGCTGAAGAGGCAGGGACCTTCCTCCAGAGCTGAACCCCCAAAAAGCCTTCCCCTATAGCCCACACCCTGAGTTTGGACTTCTAAAGAAATATACTTGTGTTTGTTAAAACCACCCACTTGTACAAGGGTACTTCATAAAGTGTGTGGGAAAATTGCACTCATTTTTTTCCATGAACTTTTGAAATATCCCTTGTATTTCTGTTATAGAAGCACTAGGTAAATAAGGCAAATGACTATAATTTCTTTTAGGGTAGTTTTCCAGAGCTTCTCTTGCCCAAAGGAGCTTATCAGATAAATCAAGACTGAGGTCACGAATATGCTGCTACAGCATTTTCCTCAAGCCCTTCTTCAAGCTCTATAGGCAACATGGTCCAAATGGGAAAACTGCTGTGTGTACGTATCAATCCCGATTGCTGTGTGATTCATGATTAGGGAGTTGCCATTTTAATATAAGTAAACTGTATACGATATTATGTGATAAATTTGATGGGGAAAAAATCAAACAGGGTAGGGGGAATTGTTGGAGGGAGAGTGGAAGTTGGGGTGAAAAAGTATTGAAGACTTGATGATATTGCATGCAAGCCCAAATAGCACTGCTGAGTAAGCATTGAACTGCTGAGGGGTCATGTGTGCAAATTCACCAGTTATTCCACTAGAGAAAGAGGACTCTATTTGACCTTTAAAGATTTACAGCCTCAGAAACAATACAGGGTCACTATGAGTTGGACTAATAGTTATTTTGAAACAGAAAATCATATTGTTTATGCCAGGAATGACAAATTATAGAGGAATGGCCTTACATCCATCTTCAAAAAAGACATTTCAAGAGCTATAAGTACAATACTGTCTGTAATGGGATTCATATACAAAGAAATCCAATCAATACAGCTATTATTCAAATTTATGCACCAGCCACAAAAGCTAGTGATACAGAAATGTAAGATTTCTACCAATGTCTCCTGTCCGAAATTATTCAAACATGCTATCCACATGCATTGAAAATTATTATCAATTGGAATGCAAAAGTTGGAAATAGAGAAAGGATCTGTAGTTGGAAAATAATGTTCTTTGTGATAGAAACAAAGCTGGAGATTGTGTAATAGAATTTTTCAAGACCAATGACTTCTTTGTAGCAAATAACATTTTTCAACAACAAAAAAGTGGACTTCAACATACATGTGGACTTCTCCAGATGGCATACACAGAAATAAAACTGACTACATCTGTGAGAAGACACAATGGAAAAGCTCACTATTAGCAGTTAAAAACAGACCTGGAACTGACTGTTCAACAGACCATCAATTGCTCATATTCAAGTTCAGAATGAACCTGAAGAAAATGAAAACAAATTCATGAGTGCCAAAATATGACCTTGAGCCCATTCCACCTGAATTTCGAGAGCATCTCAAAAGCAGATTTGACACACTGAACCCTAAATGACTGAAGGCCCAGTGAGATGTGGATGACATCAAAAACATCATACACAGAGAAAGTAAAAGGTCATTTAAAAGAAAGAAAAGATAAACGTGGATGTCGGAAGAGTCTCTGAAACTTGTTCTTAACTAAGTAACGAACTAAAGCAAATGGAAGAAATTATAAAGTTAATAGCCAAACAGAAAGCTTCAAAGTTGAGCTCAAGAAAACAAAGTAAAATATTATGAAATTTGCAGAGAACTTGAGTTAGAAAACCAAAAAGGAAGATGCTCAACATATCTTAAACTGAAAGTTCTCAGAAAATTCAAGCCTCAGGTTGCAATATTGAAAGATGGTAAGGACCCTCTTTGAATGATGTAGGAAGTATCAAAAGAAGATGGAAAGAAGACACAGAATCACTATACCAAAAAGAACTAGTTGATCTCCATTTCAAGAAGTAGCATATGAGCAAGAACCAATGATACTGAAGGAAGAAGTTCAGGCTGTGCTGAAAACGTTAGCCAAACAGTGCTCCATGATGAAGCCCTAGAATCACTCACTCATCTATGTCAAGAAGTTTGGAAGACAGCTACTGTTGCATCTGACTGGACGAGATCTGTGTTTGCACTCATTTCCAAAAATGGCCCAATAGAGTGCACAAAATTATAGAACAATATCAATATCACTTGCAAGTCAAGTTTTGCTGAAGTTCCTTCAACAGTTGCTGCAGTACCTCGACAGGGAGCTACTAGCACTCCTGGCCAGTTTCAGAAGAGGACTGGAATGATAGTGCTGATGTCAGATGATCTTGGCTCAAAGCAGAGAATGCCAGAAAGATGCTTACTTGTGCTGTGTGGATGTCACAAACTGCAGATAGCCTTGAAAAAGATGGGAATTCCAGAACACCTCAGTGTACCCATGGGGAACTTCTGCATGGACCAACAGGCAGTTGTGGGACCAGAACAAGAGAATACTGTATGGTGTAAAATCAGGAAAGGTATGTGACAGGGTTATATCCTCTCACCTTACTATCTATGCTGAGCAAATAATCAGAGAAGCTGGATTGTATAAAAAAGAATTCAGCATCAGGATTGGAGGAAAACTTATTAATCATCTTCAATATGCAGATGACACAACCTGGCATGCTGAAAGGGAGAAGGACTTGAAGCACTTGCTGAGGAAGACAAGGATGGCGGCTGTCACTATAGATTATGACTCAGTGTAAGGAAACCCAAATCCTCGAAACTGCATCAGTAGTTAACAGCCTGTTAAGTGGAGAAAAGATTTTACTTGTCAAGGATTTCATCTTGCTTGGATCCACAAGCAACCAAGCAGCACAGAAGCAGCTTATACGGTCATAGAAGCAGCAGTCAGATCAAAGGATGCATTACAGTGGGTAAACCTGATTCACAAGGCCTCTTGAGAGTGTTGAAAAGAAGGTGTTATTCTGGGGACTGAGGTACACCTGACCTAAGCCATGGTATTTTTCAGTTTTTCATGGTATGTGAAATTGAACATTGAATAAGGAAGACTGAAGAATATTGATGCACTTGAATTATGGTGCTGACAAAGAATGTTGAAAGTAACATGCCAAAAGAACAAATGGATCTGTCTTGGAAGAAGTACAGCCAAAATGTTCCTTAGAGGCAAGGTTGACAACACGGCATCTCCTATTTTGAACATGTCCAGAGAGACCAGTGCTTCAAGAAGGACATGCTTGGTGAAGAAGACGGGCTGACAGTGGCTGCAGCAATGCGCTCAGATATAAGAACGATTGGCATGTTGCAGGAACCGGCAGTGTTTAGTTCTGTCGTATATAAGGTCTTATGCATTGGGACCCACCTGACTGCATCTTAACAACAATGGCAGTGGGGGGTTGGGGGGAATTTTATCTTCTTTCCATGTGTAGCCTCCAGCAAACAGAGGGAATGGTGTCTTTTGCTTTCAATACAAAGGAAGGCTTTCCAGATCTCCCAATTGATTTTTTTGGTAATCATTTTATTGGGGGCTTGTACAGCTCTTATCACAATCCATACATCCATGTGTCAAGCACATTTGTACCTTGGTTGCCTCATCATTTTCAAAACATTTTCTTTCTACTTGAGCCCTTGGTATCAACTCCTTGTTTTCATCCTCTCTCTCCCACCCTCCCTCCCTCACAAACCCTTGATAATTTATAAATTATTATAATTTTTCATGTTTTTTTAATGTTTCATTGGTCACAACTGGTAGCATGCACTATATCCACAATCAGTTCATACTAAATGTATCTACTGAAGAACACTAACATTCTGTCAACATGGTGGTTACACTACGCAATATTTTCCTCCTGTAAATTACATTTCATTTGTCTTTCACACTAACTGATGTTACTTATTAAGTCAATTGACTTCTACTAAACAAATATTTTGAGTGAAAAGGCAAATGTGAGTTATTTCCAGCTGTATTCTGGCATTAAATTAAAACATTTTGTCTGTAAATACACATATAATCTTGTTAAAAATTTAATAGGGGAAATATGCCATGTCAAAATTACACTTCTCTAGGAAAAATATACAAATCCCAAAC